CGCTATTTCAGTCTTTCTATCTTTCTAATTACTTCTCGCTCTGTTTTTCTCTCTCTCTTTATTTTCTCTTCACACAAAAAAATCATAATGGTGTGGAGAGGATGGCTATAAGGGGAGAAGGGAGGCCATCAAAAAAAATGAATCAAGAAGTTGTGATTTTATACAGTGATGAAAAATGCATTTTTATATGAAATGAAAAAAAATAAACTAAATATGCAGATAGGAGCACACTGATGTTAATGATTGTAAACTAGATATTGCATGGTGGCATATATGACCCCCGCAGGTACAGTCAGAATTATAAATAATTATAAAATACAGGATTCCTGCAGCTAAAGGCAGGTTAAACTTAAGGCTTTTTAATGCAACTTGAAATGAAATAAACAGTTTTACCCAAAACATTTATTTTAACACAAAACGATGAGGAACGAGAAGCATTTAGTAAATTATTTCAGAAAATAAACATTACCAATTCTTTTAATATTTGAGACCAATTACAATCATCCTACTTACAACATGTTAACTACATTTTATGGCTAATTAAGGCCTCACTTTTTCACTGATGAATTTAATACCTTTTAAGACTTAAGGATTCGCAGGAACCCTGAAATCAGAACTGTTGTAAATGAAAAATCTGCAATATTTACAATTTTACATTTATATTCTAATGCTTCTCAATTAGGAGTGCAACGACACAGAAAATTCATGATTCGGTTCAATACTTTGGCGTCACGGTTCAATATTTTTTCGATACAAAAAAGAAAAATGTCCATGCTCGTCTTAACTTATAATTTGTTGAAATTAATTATGAACAATTGTTTAACCTCAAAAGTCCAGTTTTTACACAAAATGTTGCTGAAACAGCAAGTTTCTCAGTGGATCTGTGCTCCACAATGCAGCCTAAGTGGAGTAGTCGAACACAGATCCACTGATCCTTCAACACAGAGGATCTTCAGAAGACATGATAAAATAAATGTTAAAAATCTGTACTGTTCCATACAAGTGCGCATTGTTCCATACATAGTGCGCATTGTTCCATACATAGTGCTATTGTTCCATACATAGTGCTATTGTTCCATACATAGTGCTATTGTTCCATACATAGTGCTATTGTTCCATACATAGTGCTATTGTTCCATACATAATGTGCATTGTTCCATATATAATGCGCATTGTTCCATATATAATGTGCATTGTTCCATACATAGTGTGCATTGTTCCATACATAGTGTGCATTGTTCCATACATAGTGCGTATTGTTCCATACATAGTGCGTATTGTTCCATATATAATGTGCATTGTTCCATATATAATGTGCATTGTTCCATACATAGTGTGCATTGTTCCATACATAGTGTGCATTGTTCCATACATAGTGTGCATTGTTCCATACATAGTGTGCATTGTTCCATACATAGTGCGTATTGTTCCAT